TAATTAAAAAAATTAACTTATTAATAAGTTGATTCTGTTAGGTTTTAAAAAGTTATTACTTTATTAACTTTTTTAGACAGATAAGAATTAGATTTTATTTTTTGATATGAAGTTCTACATCTTTAATGAAACCTTCTATACAGATTTTTTTTATTTTAGTTTCATTTTTTAAAAAAATTATTAACTGTATAATTGTAAAATTAAATTGAATTTATTAGTCAGTCAGACAAACTTCTGCCTATGACTAACTGCTATATAGTTAGTTAGCTAGTATTACTTAGTTCTGATGAATCTGACCAAAATTCTGAGGCCTTGCAAAAAACATTAAAATTTACAAAATATAGATTAGCATAAGTTTAGTGCTCTCTATATATTTAGAAATAATTAACAAATTTTTTCAATTAAGTCTTTAATGATCAGTGATTATCATTTTATCTGCTTGATAAAAATTTAATAAAAAAAATAAAAATTACAAAATATTTAATATGAAGGCTTTAAATTTATATTGGATTTCTAATTTTGTGTCTAAAAAAAATATTTTTATTATTGCTTATTATTGCATCTTTGATTTTACAGATGTATATGCTTATTTATAAATTGTTTTTAAAATATTGAATAATAAATAAGTTATATAGACCAATCAACTTCAAGACTTTGCCAATCTTTTAAAGTATTGTTTAAAATGCTACACAAGGTCATGATGAAGAATAATCCAACCATATGCTAAAAATCATATATAACATTGCACTCTTAAGTAAATTATACCCTTCATATTTTATATTCCATTTCTGATAGAATTCAAAAATTTACACATTCTTGCTAGAATGTAATTAGCAAAGTTTATAATAATCAGTAGAATACATTCAATTTATTAATAATTATTTTAAGTATATTTTTTGAATTATTCATATTCAGCATAGTGCATACTTAGTTCATAACTAGAAATTTAGCATAGCATGCACTCACTTTATACCAAAAATTCAGTATGAGATATATATATATATTTGGTTAGAACAAAATAATTGATATTCTCAAATGATAGCATGTATCTTAAATATTTATAGATCAAATTATGATTAGAGTTAGTGTTAGAAAATAACATTTTATATATAGTATTTTAATTCAACAAGAGATATGCCAAAAATTATAGTCAACAAGTATCAGTTCAAATCTGGCAACTCTTAACTGCAACCATGATTATTATTTCATCAACCCAATAAAAAATACTACAAAAAAAAAGAAAAATCTTTAAAATCTAATGAACATATGTGATTCACATTGAGCCACCAGTATTTATGCTAAAAAATCAACATTTTATTATAATTTCTAATTTAATAGTGTTCTGGATTTTATTTTTATTCATCTTATATACATGTAGTAGACATAATATAGATTCACAGGTGCAATAGTCAAACTACCTGTATAAGGTATAAATGATATATGAAAAATAATCAATGCATAACTTTATGTGATGAATTGAGTCATGCAGACCAATCAAGTGCTAAGAATTGCACACATATATTAAATTGCCTGTAAACTATACACTATGTTGTACATTGTACAAACTTCATTTCTGGTAAATAGGATACATCTAATGCTGTATACAGTGTTAGAGAGAAATCTAGTTAAAGCTGTTATATAATAATTGTTGAAAATGTAACCAAAAACATGACCAGAATTGCAATCTGGATTGTGACTCAAAATTAATAATCATGTAACCTAATTTCTCCTCATTGTATGCAAGAGAAGTCCCAAGATTTGGAACAAGGCACTCATGATTGTAAGCCTAAGCCCCATATGTGACAATTATCACTAATCTAAAAAAGAAGAAAGGCTTAGTAGAATTACCACGACACGCAACAATGAAAAGGTGTGATACTTACTTTCATGAACTCACAACAGAGCCTTCAACCTGTAAAGACTTTTTGGGAGATGTAACTGTAGCTTTATCAGCAAGACTTATAAAATAAAGAAGGCAATTAAAAGATGGAATCATGAGTCAAAAGGTGGGATTGTACAATTAACAGAAAAGAAAACATTAATGCAAGAAAGAAAGAATGTTCTCAAGCATACTTTTCTGATAATTTGTTATAAATGCCCTCTATTTTTAATGTTAAGTGGGATATGACTCCTGGCTCCCATACTCTTATAACTTAAAGGAAATTATTAATAAATTATTAGTTAATAAAAACAGTTATAAATCATAAAAAGTGCAAAGAGTGTAATACCCCATACTTATCCAGTAACTTACTTGAGAGCCACCTTAGCCATTGCCAAATCATATCATCTTATTTTGCTTTCAAGTACCATTATGCGACATTGCCGATTTTGAAGCAACAATTTATCGCAGTTGCTCCATCATAGAATTCACCTAATTCCTTGTGACAACAGTTATATGTTTTTAATTTTTTAATTAAAGTTAGCTGGGAATTAGTGTATAGTTAGAATAAGGGTCAATGTTATAGTAAATTTGTCTCTCAATCATTTTTATTAATAGCCCAAGGTAGGTTTAGACAATCATTTCTTTTGTTTTTGTCATTTTTCACTTTTTTTCTTTGTCGAGTTGATTTGTGTCGATCATAACAAGCAATTTTATTGGCTAAACATCACGTAACTGCACATAGCTTTAGATGACATCCTAAAATGGGCATCCAAACAGTATAAATGTATTAGCTGTATACTCTGCATTGGGTTTTTAATGAATATCAGCATTAGTGTTTTGAATCAGTTTTATTTTTTTTATGTTAAAACTGGTTTTAATCAGATTTAACATAAGAAAAATAAAACCAGTTCCAAACTCTAATCAGCATAATGAAGGAATCAGTAGTATCAAGTGTATGTATAATTAATATAATCAGTAGAGGCAGGATAATAAGTATAATATATCATGGATAAGATGTATAATGTGTTTTATGTAAGTTAAAGTATATAATAAAGGTGTTTTGCCCTAGAGAAAAACAATCATTCATGATTCAAAATAAATTTGCCTCCTATAATTTCATAGTTCCTTACATTATAATAAAACACTTACATTTTGATCTATTGCTTTGGTGGCATAAATAGTATGATCATTACTCTTGTATTCTTGCTTATGTAATATTGTAAAGTGTATCATTACCCTGTCTAGTTAATTTATGATGTATTGAGGACTACTTGATTATTATTTTCCAACTCTCCCAATATACTATGGCATTTAAGGTTGTTGTATTTCAGTTTGAGATTCAAAAAGAAGGTTCCAGCCATGGTTTTGATTATAGTAATAGCAAATAGTAGACATAAGAGATAGTGTGTTAGTAAGCTGTAATGAAAGATTTAAAACAAGTAGAAAGAGAAAGTTATACCTACGATCTTAACCCCACTTGCAAAATAAACTGCCTCTTATTGACTAAGCCCATTTATAGGTTATACAACATATCTGACTCACCATTTGGACTATTTGGTTAATGATGCTCAGAACATTTTATAATACTATTATGAATTTAGTGCATGTATAAAATTTATTTTATAATGCTATTAAGAATTTAATATTGCATTTAAAATTTATTTTATTCCTAAAGAGTAAATGAAATATAGTTACAAAAATAATCTATATGGGAGTTATGCATGTTAAACAATTTATTGCATATTCATGTACATGTTTGCTTAGCATTAGATTTCTATATGAACTCATTAAATAATAAGTAGCTGCGCAACATTGTTGTGCAAAACCAGGAACAGGAGAAATCTATACAGATTCCATTTCAGTCACAGGAAACTATATTCTTTATTGCAATCTATTTCTGATATAAGAAAATATCTCTTTATTAAAAAAGTTGATAGTACTTGTAATCTGAATATTGGTTTGAATTTTAGTGACTGAGTCATTAATGAAGTTAATATTTGACTGCTATATAGTTGGTTAGTTAGCATCACTCAATTCGGATGAATCTGACCCAAAATTCTGAGGCTCTGCAAAAAACAGTAAAATTTACGAAACATATCTATATATTTAGAAAGGATTGACAAATTCTTTCTTTAACAATCAATAATTATTATTTTATCTGCCTAATAAAAAATTTAATGAAAAAAAATGAAAATTACAAAATATTTAGCATTGAGGACTTTAAATTTACATTGGGTCACTAATTTTTGTAACAAAAAAATTATTTTTACTACTATTTGTTATTGCATCTTTGATTTTACACAGATGTCTGTACTCATTTATAAATTTTTTTTACTAAATTATGAATAAGTCATGCAGACTAATCAATTTCAAGACTTTGCATACAGAGGCATTCATTCCTGTTACCTATCTTTTAAAGTATTGTTCGGAGTCTACACAAGGTCATGATGAAAGATAACTCAATCATATGCTAAGAATCACATACACCATTTAACTCTTAAATAAACTATACCCTATGTATTTCATAAGTAGCTGTGCAATGTTGTCATGCGAAACCAGAAACAGGAGAAATCTATGCAGATACTATTTCAGTTACCAGAAACCATATTCTTTATTGCAATATATTCCTGGTATAAGAAAACAACTCTTTATAAAAGAAGTTGATAATACTTGCAATTAGAGATGGGAAAATTGAGGTTTTTTTGAAACTACTGCCTACACAACCATATAGGATAACTTTTTTCTAATTGGTCAATTTTATTCAATTGAATTTATACAGTTTAAAGTACTTTTCAAGATCTAAAAATTTTTATACCATAATATTATAAAATAACTATCAAAAATCATTTAGAATATTTGCAAAAGGCTTCATACAAAATAATCCCAAATAATCCCAACATTTAGATATACTTTACTTAAAGCTAAGTTCAACATAAAAGAATGGCAATGCATGATAACTATATGTTCTAAAGTTCCTGGTCAATGTATAAAAACCATAACTAACTAGGTCTGAGAAAGTGCTCAAGAAAAAGGTACCTAGCCAGCTTACTTGCAAGTCAGTCAAGAAGTATGTCAATGTTGTTATAATGGGTTGATGCAGTCATCAGTTGTAATAAAAATGCATGCAAAAGCGACTTATAATATCCAACCACTTAACGCTGATGCATTAGATCTAGAGGTTAATATATTAGTTTCAGAGGTTAATACATTAGATCTAGAGGTTAATACATTAGATCCGGAAGTTATATCCTTTTCAATGTCAATAAAAATCATGACTAATATTCTATATAAGCATGAAGTAACAAAAAAATTGTTAGCATTTCAAATGTTTGAAGAATTTTATGCTTATATGGAATCAGAAAATAAAAATTTGTAAGTTTTTTTAATAAACTTATATTATCAGTAAATCTATCACGGAAAAAAAAAGAATCACATTTCAAAATATTGTCTCAATTACTTTTTGTTTGTTATTTGCTTTGCAGTCTGTGTAACAAATTTATTATTATTATAAAAAGTGATTTAGCACTTTATCTTGATTCTACAGATACAAGTAATTCAATGATCAATACTTTAGCAGAGCTTGGCATTACATCAATGGCACAAACAATTTGGCATAAGAAAAATGAAATTTTTAAGGATCATATACACACTATAAATAACCAACTAGAGAATTATCAGGAAAACACTATAATTTTAAATGTAGACGATTACCATAATATACATACAAACCATGTCCCAAAAGATAACAAAACATCAACTGCAGTTAATATGGCAACAATTTTGTTAAATCCAATAAGCATGACATCACCAATTCCTATAAATTATAATGACCAAATTATTTATAATCCTAAGCTCGTAGATGCAAATTCTCTAAAAATTAATTTAGAAAACTGATTTATAACATCATTAGGAATAACTTTTAATGAATGATGGAATAATAAGGTAAGTAAAAATGAAGAAGAAACTATGGAAGTATTAATGGTTTATAGTTATAATCTTCAGCTCAAGAAGAAAATGAATGATAGATCATTAAATAATATCATGCTTGTTGACCTTGTGAAAAATAATTTACATTCTACTAATGAATATTTGAAGAGTTTTGCTATTATTAGGAATGTGGATATGATGCAAAAGTATTTCAATTCGGATTATATTCTATCACTCATTGCTAATTGGCCCAGGCAAATATTCGTTAGAAGTGCAGTTTCTCAATTTTTGACTTATGGTGATAAGTCTAATATTTCTCAAGACATATTATCATTTATTCTAATAATTGGACTATTGCATATATCTCTGAATAGTCGCAAGCTTATTTATATACAGTACCATTCATTGTTTTCTTCATTGCACAATTATTTATTTGATCAAATGAAAGGGCTTGGAATTAACATTCAACCTTGATGAATTAATTTGCTTCTTGAGGTTATTCGTCATGAGTGGCTTTGGGTTTCAAATATTATTAAAAAAAAGTTTGGTATTGTGAAGACCTTGAATATCTAACATTGAAAGATTTGTTAGATAAGTTGATTCCACTTGTACTTGATATATATGCAATTTTCTTTCATGCAGGTAAGTGGCAAGAATATGAAGAATCTATAATATGGGTATAAGTACTTTTTTTATAGTTTTTCCATCATAATTACAATATGACACTGCTAATGTTTTTGTCAGACATTTTATATTAGAAAGATATTAATCATCCTATTTTAGAAATTTTAAAAACATGGTTGCCAAAATTTTCTGATGCTTCCATTGAATTATTTCACAGCATTTTGAGATGAATTACCCAAAAGCATGATACTGCCAAACTCTTACGAAATCAAACACATTTTATTAATTTTTTAAGACATGAAAAATGTCTTTATGAATTATTTGATCATCAATCAACTTGGAAAAGATATCCTTTAAATTACAGAGATATAAATAGTTGTATACAAAAAGCAGCATGTTTTTTGTTAGAATGTTTTATTAATATTTATAATCGCATTACTATAAACAGTGTAATGGGTCTAAGTTTGCATAAGCCTGCACTATTGTTAGAAGAAAAAAAGAAAAGAAAACTTGTGAATGCTACTAATATATTAATGACAGCTATTGGCATTATTGCAAATATTCAACATCTTTCTTTAGGTTTTAGCACTTCACAAAAACTTAATCAATCTATTTTGTGTGATTATTCGTTATGTACTAAAACCGATATACACGTCTACACTAATTTATTATCTCTTAATTTGAAAATACTAACATGCAGTCATAAATATTATGTAAAGTGTTTAGAAGAAATTTGTCAAAAGTGTTTTTACCTTGACTTGAATTCTTGAAAAATGGAATACAAGTAAATGTGGATCAGTTACTAATGCATCTAATGGAAACACAAGAAGAAAAAGATAAAAAAAAAAAAGACAAAAAAAATTAAATGTAAAAGATACCCGAGTTCAAGAAAATATAACAAGAGAGACACAAAAAAATATAACAGAAGAGTTTATAAGTGAAGCAAATAAAGATGATGATAACATTATTATTATTAGTAGTAATGAAGATACGGTACTTGATAGTTTGTTGCAAAAGCTCAAATAATTACAACAATAATTTTTTATTTAAAAATTTTAATAAAATTATTTTTTTTTAAATAAAAATTCGATAATTAATAAAAAAAAAGAGAACAATTGTAGTGTTATTTAATTTCATATACAAGAAAGTTATTCTATCTGCACAGGTTCAAAAATTATGTATAATAAATTATAGATTCTTAAAAGGCATGATAGATATTTAAAATGTATATATATAAAAGTAAGAAACAATAACAATAAAGAATTAAATTTATGAAGATAATGTAGTTTGGTTGATTGTCACACATTATACTGATGGCCAATCATAACGTGTTATTCAATTTTATGTGATCAACCAATCATAAGAAAGTTATCCTATATTACACATCCTGGATACCCTTATATTCAGAAAATCCCAGGCTGAAGATCACTTCCAACCCTATTCAGATCCAATAAAATCACAGGATCTTGTGTAACAAAACAAATGCAAAAAACATAAGAAATTGTAAAAAAACATAAATAACACAAAAATTTACTATGATAACTAACTTCTGACCTCTAAGTAAAAGTTGTCAGAATGAAATTTTACTTATAAAACATAATTGTTAATGTTAAATATATAGTGAATTTTTAATATCCTATGACCTATATCTTTTTGGTCAGCAGCTTAAGATTTTCTTGATATAAGGAAATTTATATTAAGGTTACATAAAAGTACTTTATTTTCATTTTAAGGTAATTTAAAGATTCTGTATATTTAAAAATAGAGGTAATTTATTCTTTTATACAAAGTGCAAGTTTATTTAGTGTTAATTATTGGGTTATTATAATTGCAACTATATAAAAATAAATACTTAAATGCTATTAATGTAATTAATGTATTAAATTACATAACATAAAGTATTTCCTAATAATAAATTAATATAAATATTATCAATTATATTTATATAAGCTGTAAATTATGTATTTTACAAACTTGAATTTTTTAATGCATAGTAACTGCATAGTAATTATATAATAACTATATAGTAACTATATAGTTATTATTAAACTTAATATATAATTATTATATAATTATTATGGATATATATCATTTCATCGACAATTATTTCACCAAACATCCTATCACACAGAGCGATAGTTAATATTTAACAATTGTTTGATAATTAATAATTATTTGTTTAATATTACTTATTATGCTGTATGATAGGGTGTTCAGTGAAGTAATCATTGATGAAATGATGCATATCCAATTATTATATAGTTACTATATATATAATTACTGCATATTAAGATATTTAAGTTTCTGTATATATTGTATATAGATATTAAGATTAAAGTTAAAGATCATTTTTGAATATTTGTTTAAGATTACAAAATATACAATAGTTAAGTATGAAATTAATAATGAAACCTAGTTATTATTATTTTTTTTAACATTAAAGTTCCTGCTTTTTGAGATCGATGTTTTTATTTAAATATTTGGACAAAGATGCTTTCAGAGGTTTCTATATATAGGAGGTTACAACTAGTCACACATGCACTTTTGGTGCTTAATTTAAATAGTCTATTTATATATTACTATACAGGTTCTATACTAGGTGCCATACCTGCAAGCCAACTACAAGTCTTGTCTATTTAAACTCTTTCCATATATAATCTGACTTGTGATCACAAGAATATCTTCTGAGCTACATTTATTCAAAGTATCTAATGCTTTCAAGACTCTTAGAACTAGTTATTTTTAATAGGAAACTTATTAGAACCTTCTGTATCTTACATATAGTTGATCTAGTTTTATGTAATATGCTATAGTTAGCTAACATTTGTAATTACAGAAGTTATCTATTTAACTACTATGTTATGTTATTTCTATCTTTGTAAAGTTCACTAGAACTTCAGTATCTATTATCATGACATTTTCTTTATTATCTCTTACTAATCACTACTAAAACTGACAAACTTTTCCAACTTCTAATCCAGATAGTCTAGTATAATATATTTATGCATTCTTTTTCTTCAGTAATTCTGATAGTCTGGTTGGTCATATGCTCCTTTATACATCTTGACATCCAGTTTATCTACTTATCCCTTTAAAAGTATTTTATAGACTTTCATCAGTCTAATCATACTGTCAAAAGTTTATATTACTTCTTTATTCAAGAATTTCTAAATAACGGGGTTGGGCTCCATAGCTTAATTGTTAAGCTGCCAACTCTCCACAGACGAGGTCAACGGTTCAAGTCGGGCTAGAGGCAAAATCCAAGGATTTTAACTCTGTAACCTAATATAGGAGCCAAATTG